TCACCGCCCAGGATGAAGCTGCCCACAGCCGAGATGAAGCCCGAGAGGAAAGAGTTGAAGGGGAAGGTGCCGACGCCGAGGCAGTAGCCGAACTGCAAGGCCCCCGTCAGCATGACGTAGAGCAGATAGGCGTCCAGCACTTTCAGGCGGCTCGGCGTCCCGCTGCTGTATTCGGACAGGAAGCGCCGCACCACGGAGGTCACCGAGCTCGCTCCGGAGCCGGACGACCCAGACGCCGAACCCGACATAACGACGGCGGACACACTGCCCAGGCTTCGTTTGCTTGAGTGGCCGGAAGCGAGCGCAAAAAGCTTCCGGGGTCGCTTTGAGACACGCGCATGCGTAGCGCAGAAGCCAACGTCAAGTCGGTGTGGGCAGACTGGTACGCATGCGTAGTGGGTCAATCTTTGACCGGTGACGCATGCGTGGGATAGTCCGATGAGCCGAGAAACGGTTTGTTGGCTGGGAATCGCTTTCTACGCACGCGTGGTACAGTCATCATTGCGCGTGCGCTTTTTGGTTCTATCCCTGGGGTGAAAATGAATGAACTTATTAACAGTGGGTGTCTGCTTAAAGAAACTTAAAAAGCAAATCTTTCATTCCTTTGGGTTTTAGGCCTCTAAATAAACGAATTTAGGGGATAAATTCCTCCAGGAGTTACAATGCAGAAATATAAGTATAAAAAAATAAAAATTTACAATATACTTTATAAAAGCATTAAGTTTCATTAACTATATACTTATGTAGATTCTCAAATGATTCCGTTTTTCCTCTGACACATCCATCTTTCTCTGACCCTCCCACCCTTCATTCTCTCTGATCTTCCTCCCATCCATCCATTCATCCATTTCTCTGATCCATCCATCCATAAATAACTAAATAGAATAGAATAGAATTTGTTTGCCAAGTATGATTGGACACACAAGGGATTTGTCTTAGGTGTATATGCTCTCAATGTACACAAGGAGAATAAAATACATTCATCAAGAATGAAAAGATACAACACTTAGTGGTAGTCAAGGTTACTAATAAGCTATCAAATCATACTAGGAAACAAACAAAAACTATAAATTGAAAGAGACAAGCAACATGGTTATAGTAATAAGTGGGAAGAGATAGATACTAGGAAGGAGCACCTCTATAACTACCACGTAACTATGTACTACCAAGAGCCTTGGTAGTACAGTGGCCTAAGGCACCTGGTTATTCAGCTGGTTATTAAGACCAGATGCCTGCAATTACTGCAGGTTCGAATCTCGCCAAGGCTCAAGACTGACTCAGCCTTCCATCCTTTCTAAGGTAGGTGAAATGAGGACCCAGTTTGTGGGGGCAATAAGCTGACTTTGTATAAAAAAAAATACAAAAGTATGAAGGCTATTGCTTAACGCATTGTAAGCCGCCCTGAGTCTCCGGAGAAGGGCGGCATATAAATCAAATTTAAAAAAAAAAACTGTCTGGTTTGGCTCTGCAACCCAAGACAGACACAGACTTCAGAGGATCATTAGAACTGCAGAAAAAACAATGGCTACCAACCTGCCTTCCATGGAGGACCTGTATACTGCACGAGTCAAAAAGAGGGCTGTGAAAATATTTACAGACCCCTCCCATCCTGGACATAAACTGTTTCAACTTCTACCCTCAAAACGACGCTATAGAGCCCTGCACCCCAGAACAACTAGACACAAGAACAGTTTTTCCCCAAATAACCATCACTCTGCTAAACAAATAAATTCCCCAACACTGTCAAACTATTTACTAAATCTGCACTACTATTAATCTTCTCATCGTTCCCATCACCCATCTCCCCCCACTTATGACTGTATGACTGTAACTTTGTTGCTTGTACCCTTACAATTTATATTGATATTGTTTCCTAGTATGATTTGATTGCTTATTAGTAGCCTATGACTATCATTAAGTGTTGTACTTTATGATTCTTGACGAATGTATCTTGTCTTTTTATGTACACTGAGAGCGTATGCACCAAAGACAAATTCCTTGTGTGTCCAATCACACTTGGCCAATAAAAATTCTATTCTATTCTATTCTATTCTATTCTATTCTATTCTATTCTATTCTATTCTATTCTATTCTATTCTATTCTATGCTAAGCTATGCTATATTCCACCCCACTCCACTCCATTCCTATTCCATTCCTATTCCATTCCATTCCTATTCCATTCCATTCCATTCCATTCCATTCCATTCCATTCTATTCTATTCTATTCTATTCTATTCTATTCTATTCTATTCTATTCTATTAATTCTATTCTATTCTAATTCTATTCTAACCATAGCCACCTCCTCTCCTTTATGATACAGGTAGTTGTTGACTTAAAACAGTTCATTTAATGACAAGTTACAATGGCACTGAAAATGGCTGTTTTTCACACTTATGACCGTCATGGCATTCCCCATGGTCACGTGATCAAAATTTAGACGCTGAGCAACTGACTCGTATTTATGACGGTTGCACTGTTCCCGGGGTCATGTGATCCCCTTTTGCGACCTTCTGACAAAGAAAGTCAATGGGGGAGCCAGAATTCGCTTAACAACCGTGTTGCTAACTGAACAACTGCACTGATTCACTTAACAACTGTGGCAAGAAAGGTTGCAAAATGAGGCAAAACTCGCTTAACAACTGTCTTGCTTAGCAACAGAAGTTTTGTCCTCAAACTGTGGTCATAAATTAAGGACTACCTACATCAAATCTGGGTTTCTACTGGGAAACCACTTCTGCATTTTGTGCTTTCTACAGGCAGCCCGCTAACTAACAGGCATTCATTTAGTGACCATTCGAACAACGCCACTGAAAAAAAGGCCGTAAATCGAGGATTACCTGTACATAGACATCTGGATTTTGTGTGCGAGATGGAAAGAAATGAAATTTTGACTGTGGGTTTTGTCAATTCGATACATACGTTGTTATAGAGATGATTAGTGCATATTAAGTATGTAAAAGTACATCTTGAGACTGTAATGCTACTATATTTTATTCTATGGCACGAAAGAGTTGGAAGTCAATGCTTTTCTTTTCTTTTCCCTCTGTACCTTACACTTCTTTTTCTTCCCTTTTTCTCCCCTCGTTTTATTTATTTATTTATTTATTGGTTCGATTTATATGCCGCCCTTCTCCGGAGACTCAAGGCGGCTTACAATGCGTTAAGCAATAGCCTTCATACTTTTGTATATACCTGCTTAGTAGGGCTTTTGCCCCCCCCAAAGCGGTGTTCTTTTTTATACAAAGTCAGCTTATTGCCCCCACAAACCGGGTCCTCATTTTACCCGCCTCGAAAGGATGGAAGGCTGAGTCAACCTTGAGCCTGGTGAGATTCGAACTTACTTTAATTGCAGGCAGCTGGTGTTACTTAACAGTGCATTAGTCTGCTGCGCCACCAAGGCTCTCTTTCCCACTAGTTTCACTTTCTTTTGTGTTTTATAGCTTGAAAAACATAATAAAATTGATGATGTTACCCATTTAGTCGTGTCTAAGAATAATAGAAAAGAAAAGAAATATGGAATGGAATGGAATGGAATGGAATGGAATGGAATAGGAAATAGGAAGAATAGAATAGAATAAGAAAGGGAATAGAATAGAATAGAATAATAGAAATAAAAAGAATAATAGAATAGAAAAAAGAAATATCTTCTACTGTAGACCAGCCCCCTGCTCAAGCAGGAAAACCTATATCAGCGGTGGCGAAACTTTTACTCGTCGAGTGCTGAATAGGTACATGCTTCTCGCGCTTCGTACAAGCCTGTGCTATCCACGCTAATGTGCGGCTCCTCCTCCGTGCGCTGCATGTGCAACCGCACCATCTGTGCATGTGCATGGCTTTCGTGTGCGCCAAACGCGCCACCACACCATTTGCAAACCCGCACGGTTTTCATGCGGCTTCCCCCCAGTGCGCTATGCGCACAATTGCACCATCTGCGCATGCGTGCAGGTTTTGTGTGGCTCCCCCGTGCGCATGTGCACGGTTTTTGCGCACGTAATGCACCTGCATGAATGCCACGGAGCTGGCACGCAATTACTCTCGTGCATGCGCAAACACGCATGCATGCGCAGGAGAGTCCCAAAGACCAGCAGGGTCACCCTGAATTGCGCGCATGAGCCCCGGAGGCCCGAACACCAGCTGGGGCGTGCGCGCATGTGTAGCTGCAGGTGAGTTGGCCGACAGCTCACATGCCCAGAAAGATGACTCTGCGTGCCACCTCGGGCATGAGTGCCATAGATTCACCATCACGGACCTATTGTCAGGTTTCGAGGTCGTCTCAAATAAATTGCATTTCAAACAAAGTCTTTGAAGAAAAACTCCTATTTATTAAGCACGACATTCTAAATCCGACTCCATCGAAGCCAACACTGACTTCCAGACCCAAAACCCTCCCTTTCCGTTCCCCACTCCCCTGCACTCATTGGCCATCTTCCAAACCATTCTACCCCTAATCTACTGCTCCAGCTCAAAGGAATTTCCCCCCTCCCATCCCATCTCCTAGGGGATATTATCTCCAGGGAAAATAAGTAGGTGAAAAGTCAAACGTCCCTTTCCAGACGCCTCCGCCTCTCCTTCTTATTTCAGCACTAGAGTAAATGCAGCTTGAAGTGCTGACACCTATACTATTTCAGATAAGTGACTTTCTAGTCTCTTTTTAAAAATATCCAGTGATGGAGTGCCCACGATTTCTGGAGGCAAGTTGTTCCACTGGTTAATTGTCCTCACTGTTAGGAAGTTTCTCCTTAATTCCAAGTTGCTTCTCTCTTTGGTTCGTTTCCATCCATTGTTTCTTGTCCTGCCCTCTGGTGCTTTGGGGAATAATTCGACCTCCTCTTCTTTGTGGCAGCTCCTCATACTGGAATACTGCTATTATGTCGCCCCCAATTCTTCTTTTCTTTAGGCTAGCCAAACCCAAATCCTTCTTCATGCGTTTTAAGTCTCCAGGCCTTTGATCATCTTAGCTGCTCTTCGCTGTACTTTTCTTCCAAAGTTATCTAAACTTATCCAAAGAATGACTTCTTTGTGGCAGATGTGTTTAAGAGTATCCAACTTTTTTCTCTAGGTCCTGGGCTAGTCCAGCGGTTCCGTCCAGATTTTAAGCAGAAGTTTGCCAATTTTTTTGACGACGATACCATCTCTGAATACATCTACCACTGCAATGCCCAGACGCCGAGGTGAGGGAGCCCCCGGTCCATCCGTATGGCCTTCTGGTTAGCTGTGGTCCAGTGGTGAAATCCAATTTTTTTTACTACCGGTTCTGTGGGCGTGGCTTGGTGAGCATGGTGTGGCTTAGTGGGCGTGGCAGGGGAAGGATACTGCAAAATCTCCATTCCCACCCCTCTTCAGGGGAAGGATACTGCAAAATCTCCATTCCCTCCCCACTCCTGGGGGAAGGATACCGCAAAATCTCCACTCCCTCCTCACTCCTGGGGGAAGGATACTGCAAAATATTCATTCTACCCCACTCCAGGGGAAGGATACTTCAAAATCCCCATTCCCTCCCCACTCCTGGGAGAAGGATACTGCAAAATCCCCACTCCCTCCTCACTCCTGGGGGAAGGATACTGCAAAATCCCCACTCCCTCCTCACTCCTGGGGGAAGGATACTGCAAAATATCCATTCTACCCCACTCCAGGAGAAGGATACTTCAAAATCCCCATTCCCTCCCCACTCCTGGGAGAAGGATACTGCAAAATATCCATTCCACCCCACTCCAGGGGAAGGATACTGCAAAATCCCCATTACTGTATATGTAAGAAATGCAAGGAAAGTGGCATTCTTCAAACTTTCACTTAGTGGAGTTTGGGATGCAATTGGAAAATATTCCAGACTTCTCAGTGATACGAAGTGGAGGTCAGGCAGCTGGTATTAATTATCATAGAATCATTGGGCTAGAAGGGACCTTGGAGGTCTTTTTTTCGAAGAGTTGAAGAGGCTTCTTGGAGGAGAAGCGAAACGCCTTCAAAGAAAAACCCAGAAAGTCCAGTTGCCTCTTGAAAAGAAAAAAAACACCTTTAGGTGACTGGGAATCTCCACAGACGTGTGTCCTCTCTTCTTTTTCTCCCCCCGCATCAGTGGAGAGGCAGCGTTCAAGGCCATGACCGAATCCCTAGGATGGGCCCGCCGTCCCATGTTGCAACGCATCCACATGATCCGGCGTGACTTGCCCATCACCCTCATCTACGGAGCCAACTCCTGGATCGATACCAGCACTGGGGAGAAGGTCAGGTACCTACGGCCGGGATGCTACGTCAATGACATGGTAAGTAAGACCTTGGCCCAGAGAATACAAACATGGACATCAGGCATACAATTCATTGGCTCCCTCCCTCTCTCCTTCTCTCCCTCCCTCCCTCCCTCCCCCTCCCTCTCTCTCCCTTCCTCTCTCCCTCCCTTCCTCTCTCTCCCTCCCTTCTTCTCTCTCCCTTCCTCTCTCTCCCCCTCCCTTCCTCTCTCTCCCTTCCTCTCCCTCTCTCCCTTCCTTTCTCTCTCTCTCCCTCTCTCCCTCCCTTTCTCTCTCCCTCCCTCCCTCTCCCTCCCTTCCCCTCTCCCTTCCTCTCTCTCTCCCTTCCTCTCTCTCTCCCTTTCTCCCTTCCTCTCTCCCTCCTTCTCTCTTCCTCCCTCTCTCTCCCTCCCTCTCCCTTCTTCCCTCTCTACCTCTTTCACCCTTTCTCTCTCTCTCCCCCTCCCTCCCTTCCTCTCTCTCTCCCTCCCCCTTCCTCCCTCTCTCCCTCTTTCATTGTCCCCTCCCTCCCTCTCCCTTCATCTCTCCCTCTCTCTCCCGTCCTCTCTCTCCCTCTCTCCCTCCCTTTCTCTCTCCCTCCCTTCTTCTCTCTCCCTTCCTCTCTCTCCCTTCCTCTCTCTCTCCCTCCCTCCCCCTTTCTCTCTCTCTCTCCCTCTCTCCTCCCTTTCTCTCTCCCTCCCTTCCTCTCTCCCTTCCTCTCTCCTCCCTTCCTCTCTCTCTCCCTCCCTCCCTTCCTTTCTCTCTCTCTCTCCCTCTCTCCCTCCCTTTCTCTCTCCCTCCCTTCCTCTCTCCCTTTCTCTCTCCCTCCTTCTCTCTTCCTCCCTCTCTCTCTGTGCCTTGCGCACAGTCACTCACGCCCTTGTCACCTCCCGGTTGGACTACTGTAATGCTCTCTACATGGGGCTCCCCTTGAAGAGCACTCAGAGGCTCCAACTGGTCCAGAATTCAGCCACATGGGTAATTATGGGTGCAACTCGTTGCGCCCATGTAACACCTCTCCTGCGCGAGCTGCACTGGCTCCCAATGGTCTTCTGGGTGCGATTCAAGGTGCTGGTTACCACCTTTAAAGCGCTCCATGGCTCAGGACCTGGGTACCTACGAGACCCCCTTCTGCCACCGATAGCCTCCCACCGACCAATTCGCTCCCACAGAGAGGGTCTCCTCAGGTGCCGTCGGCCAAATTATGTCGGCTGGCGACACCCAGGAGGAGAGGCTTCTCTGTGGGGGCACCTGCCCTTTGGAATGAACTGCCCCCGGACATACGCAAGATCTCTGACCTCTGAGTTTTCCGCTGTGCTCTTAAGACCCTGCTCTTCCGACAGGCAGGGCTAGCTTCATAATTGAGTTTTAAATTCGCAATTCTTAAATTTAAATTCTTAAATTTTTGGGTTTTTTAGCTAATTGGCCTTGAATGTAATACTTTTAATAATTTTTAAATTTAAATTGTGATATTTATATTGTGTTTTTACCTGGCTGTACACCGCCCCGAGTCCTCCGGGAGAGGGGCGGTATAGAAATAAAATTATCCTATCCTATCCTATTCTATCCCTCCCTCCCTTTCCCTTCTTCCCTCTCTCCCTCTTCACCCTCTCTCTCTCCCCCCTCCCTTCCCCTCTCTCTCTCTCCCTCCCCCTTCCTCCCTCTCTCCCTCTTTCATCGTCCCCTCCCTCCCTCTCCCTTCCTCTCTCCCTCTCCCTCCCTCTCTCTCCCTCCCTCTCTCAACTGGACTTTTCTTGTTTTTCTTGTTTCACTCCTCATCCGAGAAGCTTTGTCAGCCCTCACTGGATGGTGGGGAACGGAAGGATTTATACTCCTAGCTAGGAATATAAATCCTTCCAATCCCCACCGTCCAGGCAGAGCTGAAGAAGCTTCTTGGATGAGGAGCGAAACATCTTCAGAGAAAAAAAAAAAACACAAGAAAAGTCCAGTTGCTTTCTGGAAAAGAAAAGAAAAAACCACTTTGGGGACATTTTCACCTTTGGCGTTTCTGTCGAAATGCGACGGGAATGTACGATAAATACATCTATCCCCAGCTGAGCATCATTGGCTTTTCCTCTTTTGTCCTGCTCCTCTCTAGGCCATCCCCGGAGCTTCCCACCACGTCTACGCTGACCAACCCCGGGCCTTCAACACCGCGGTGGAACAAATTTGCGACTCTGTGGACTGAACCCCCACCCCCGAACCAGAGTGAAAAACTAGCTCTTAACCCTGTCACCTTATCGCTCAGCTGCGGGGAGACGCTGAAGGCACACGCCACTTCCCGTGCCCGCGGGGAGCCGAAACGGAAATCCCTGTGGATCTTGAATGCAGATGGATCTCCGGGGATCTCTGCCGTCCAGCCTGCGCTCCCTCCCTTTCTCCCCATCTCCTCGAATCATCTTTCTACTTAAAGGTTGCAGATCGCCTGTTTTGGGTTAATCCGAGTCTAACCGTTCTATTTATTTATTTTTTTTCTTCTGCTAATGTTTTGGTCTTGGTTTGAGTTACACCACACACCCTCACATTTCAACGCCGGTTCCTCCTGTCGTTGGCTGCGACTGCATTCCCCACTCCCAATTTTATTCCTCCTCCTCCTCCTCCTCATTTTCCTTCATCCTACCAGGAAAATTCATCCAGCCAGCATCCTGATTGCTCCCTACCTTTGTGTATTTTAAAGGCAAACTTACAGTTGGACTCTGCTAGTTTGAATCTCTACCTTGCTAGATGATGCTAGAGTCCTTCTCTTGGATACTTGGTGCCTTTGGGGATAAATTGTTAGTTGCAGAATTTAAAATTTATATTTTTTTTTCTGAAAAAGAGGTTCTATTAATTCAACGTGGCTGAGACGTCTCTGTCAATGAAGCTTCAAGAAATGCACAAAACCTTTTTAGGTGGCCCTCAGAAGCACCTGGGGGCTTCAGAGCCTCCCCTGGCTGATTGCTAGAAATGGAGGACGATGTTCTGTAATTTTGAGGAGATGCCCTAAAACCAGATATATTTCAGAGAGACGGTGAGAGAGAGACTGAGATCCTTTTACCATGATGTCCACACCTGACCTCTTTCTCCTGCATAATGTGGCCATACCTATTTCCCACATTATACTTCCTAACCTGAAAATCTCAGTCCCAAATCTTAAGCCCAAATCTTGGGCCCAACTTAAATCCAAGAAGTAGCCAAGCACTGCGTGTAAATTCTCTGTGGAATTATGCAAACTGTGTAGAATTTAAGTGGCTTTGAACTCTGAGCATTTAGTTGGAACCACCAAATACTCATTTTTGTCTTGAGTTTCTCCAATTCTTCGGGACAAGTTTTGTACTTGGTGAAGAACGTATTTTGAGCCCAGCTCGTTCCCAAAATAATCGAGAGCACCTGAGCTCCATTTGACCCCCTAAGTTCATGAGATGTTTTTCTTCTCCACAAGATGCATAGTTCTATTTCCTTGGAAGTGGGGATCACATCCACGCTTTGATGGGAGAGCTTTTTCAGGACGGTGTGTGTGATACCGTTGGAAAACAGGTGTTGTCGTGCGAATATGAGCAAGGGTCTGGAACAGAAACCTATTGAATCCAGAAGGGCTGGTCACGTTTGAAAGATGGGGATAGAGATAAAAGAAAATCCTCACTTTTAGTGAGGATCAGCTCACTAAAGGATCATCTTGAGAGGATCAGCTATGGGTTCAAGATGATCTGCAGGCTCTTCCGAAACCAGGAGAGAACCTGGCTGGGAAAATTATTTAAGGATCCTGCTCCAAATAGAAGGTATTTGAGACTTAGCCCCATACTTAGGCCCTGCAATTGACCCTCAACCTTATTTGCGCATTTGTGATTCTAAAAGTATCTTAACGTGAGGAACATCTGGCTGATCTCTTCTGGGTTTGGAACAGACATAGGTTTCATTTATTTTTACCACCGGTTCGCCACATGGGTACACCATGCGCCCGGCCTTCCACACATGCTCTTTGCTCGAGCGAGCGCCTTCCGCGCATGTGCCCGGCCTCAAAAACATGCCTAAATGGGACAGCATAGCTCCAGGGCGAATGGGCGGGGCCCACCCACGATCACCGCTACCGATTCGCCCGAACCGGCTGAATATCCCCACTGGTTTGGAAGTTGAATGGGGTCAAGGCTAAATTGCACTTAAATGAGGAACCACCAGGGAATGTTAAAGATAAAAACATGGCAATTGGTCGATGAGAAGTTTGACTTGAAGGCTTCACCTGAAACTGTTGTCCTAATTCTATTTGCTGTGTTTGAATTCCACCGCCAAAGCATGAACATTCTGGCCCAAATCATCCACGTGGGACACTTCAGTTTTAGGAAACGGTGGATCTTGCAGTTCAACATAAGTAAAAATGAGCTGGGGACAAATGGGAGGGCAGAGAAGCTGGTCAGCTGCTGTGGTCCCTGGACGCTTCCTAGAAGACGAGACGCCCATAACCTCTCATGAAATCCATCCCACCTCCTCAAACTAGCTGGTCTTTCCTAACAGGGATGGATGTCCCTAGTGGCTGGGAAGCATGGGTGTTGGACTCTTTAACACCAAACATGGAGGCTTGGCCAAGATGAAAAAGGTCACCCTATGGTTGAGGGAGAAGGAAACCCTTCTTTTCTAACTTGGTTCGCTTCTCTTTTGCGCTCCTGTTAAATTTGTCTGTTAAAACCCGTCCCCTTGCTGTATGACGTTTTAATGGAGGTAGGGGCAAAAAAAAAGGTTTTCGAGTCCAGGGAGTTCTTGGAGCTGTGGTTATTTGGACAAAAGAAGCAAATTGATTGGCTTCTGGAGCGCTATTAACACAATTTCTAATATCGGGAGTAGGGGACAGTCTGAACTGCACCTGACCGACTTCCCAGCAGTGCCATCTATGGAATTACCCTTTGTTTGTACTAATTTTGTATGTTTATTACAATAAAATGATTGCTTAAAAACACTTGGGGGATAGTCTGTGTCTGTGTAAAGCTGGGTGTGCTTCCTTCTCCGCTTCGAGTAGGATGTCCCATTCTTCGGATTTAGTGTTTCTCCGAGGTGGATTTCATGTAATTTTACCAACGGCTCGTCGCACACAAAAAGAAATTGCTCACACGTGCGGCTTGCATGCATGCACACGGCTTAGAAAACGTGGGTAAATAGGACAGCATAGCGCCTGGGCATAGTGCCACCCCACCCGCAGATCGCCACTATGGGCCCACCTGCAAATTGTCACTACCGATTTGTCCGAACCGGTCCGAACCACCATTGGTGTTTCTCAACTTTAGCAGCTTTAAGATGTACAGAATAACAAGAGTTTGAAGGGATCGAACTCAAACTTCGGTGCTGCTGTAGCTTTAAGAAGAAAACCTTTTCTCATTTCCCTTTACGTTACGGATTTCTGGCCATCTTTCGTTCTAGAAAAGAACTCTTTTATTTCCATATTTTCTTCCTTCTTGTTCCTCTCCACCCCACACCCTTGAATTTCCCTCCCTGATTTTTCCACGGTTATTCCAAGTTACTTTTACCATGACTGGATCTTTCTCCCATCAGTGAAAAGGATCAAACCTCCTGGATTGAGCTGAACATGTTGTTTGAACAGATTTGAAAGCGAGAACCAGTGGGTGGATTCAGACAGTTTGGGCGAAATTGCTGGCTGGCCCATCCCCTCCCCGCCACTTCCAGGAGTCCCCCTAGCGGTCCGTTTTATTTATTTATTTATTTATTTATTTATTTATTTTTCGTATTTCTATGCCGCCCACTCTCCGAGGACTCTGGGCAGCTTACAACAATCGACAGTATACTAAATAGCATATTGCCCCCAACAATCTGGGTCCTCATTTTACCCACCTCGGAAGAATGGAAGGCTGAGTCAACCTTGAGCCGGTGAGATTTGATCTGCTGATCTGTTGAACTAGCGGTCAGCTGAAGTAGCTGCAGTACCGCACTCTAACCACTGCGCCACCTCGGCTCTTTTTGCTCCCAGGAGGCTTCAGGGAGGCCTCCTAGGCCCAAAATAGGGTGCGATGGGTAGAGGGCAACATGTCCTCCCGTGTGGCCCGTTTTCACTCCCAGTGGGGTGCAGGAGGCCAAGTCCTGTCTGTCATCCCCACTGGCCACACCCACCATGGCCACACCTACCCAGCCAGTCATTAGGGCAGAGAACCAGTTGTTAAATTATTTGAATCCCACCAATGGACTCACAACAGAATAGAACAGAATAACAAGAGTTGGAAGGGACCTTGGAGGTCTTCTAGTCCAACCCCCTGCTCAGGCAGGAAGCCCTATATCATTTCAGACAAGCAGTTGTCCAGTCTCTTCTTGAAAACCTCTGGTGATGAAGCACCCACAACTTCTGAAGGCAAGATGTTCCACTGGTTAATTATTTTCACTGTTAGTAAATTTCTCCTCATTCTAGGTTGCTTTTCTCCTTGATTAGTTTCCATCCGTTGTTTCTTGTCTTGCCTTCTGGTGCTTTGGCTGTCTTTTTCGTGACAGCCACTCAAATATTGGAAGACTGCTATTATATCATCCCAATGTCAGCGTATGCACCCATAGAAAGCAGAACTCTGAGGCAGGCAAATTCCTCAAAAGAACAATTTATTGGATATATCATATTGGCACAACTGGTGAAAGCCGACTCTGAAAGTTCCTGCGGCTTTCACCTAATTAAAAAGTAAGTTTCCCCTTTTCCCCCAAGTCACCCGTCACATTGTCCAATCCAGTTGCTGGCCGGTTGCTTGGTTACTTCACTCCTCCTCTGCCCAGCCACCTGTCAGAATGTCCTTGGTTCCCACAGGAAAGCTTTATTATTTTGGCTACAAAACCCCATTTAGCTATTATTATTTTTTTTAATTTGATTTATATGCTGCCCTTCTCCGGAGACTCAGGACGGCTTACAATGCGTTAAGCAATAGCCTTCATACTTTTGTATACTTTTACAAAGTCAGCTTATTGCCCCCACAAACTGGGTCCTCAATTTACCTACCTTAGAAAGGATGGAAGGCTGAGTCAACCTTGAGCCTGGCAAGATTCGAACTTACTAATTGCAGACAGTGGAGTTAAATTACAATGCATTAGTCTGCTGAGCTATCCAGGCTCCTGGATTTTCCCCCACCCTGTCCCCTGTTCTGCTTTGTGGCAACCCTGAAGCCTCCAAGATGGCCTCAGCCAGGTTCACTTCAGGGTTGACACCCTAGTCCTTTTCATTAAACTAGGTAAAGGTTCCCCTCACACATATGTGCTAGTCATTCCCGACTCTAGGGGGCGGTGCTCATCTCTGTTTCAAAGCCGAAGAGCCAGCGCTGTCCGAAGACGTCTCCGTGGTCATGTGGCCGGCATGACTAAACGTCAAAGGCACACAGAACGCTGTTATCTTTCCACCAAAGGTGGTCACTATTTTTCTACTTGCATTTTCTATGTTTCTACACATTTCTAATTCATGTGCATTTCTACAGATTTCTAATTCATGACTG